TCTAAACCATCATAATGATAAACTTGGTTTCAATACATCAAATCAGTCAGACTTCAGACAGGCTGTTCTCCATGTTGACTGCGCTGGGCTGTCACATGTTATGAAACTCTGATGGCTCAGAAACCAGGAAATGGATAAAAAAGTTCACAACATTTGAAGATGTCACCTTCGACTGCAGGAAATAAATACATTTGTATTTACAGATTATTTTCTAACATACAGTTCAACAGAGTAAGTGATTAATGTGTTAAAAAGCAGACTCTGGAGTTAACACTCACCCTGTTTTCCTCCTGCTCTGTCGAAGTGTGAAATGGAGTCTGCAGCCTGACTTCCTTCTTTAACTTTAAACATCCCTCCCTGTCTGTAGCTCCTCCCTTTGTTTCATAACCAGTTGCTCTCACGGTAAGACAGTTACAAAAACATGTAATTTATAAGAAAGTTAGAAAATATGCAAGCATCTAAAAACAAGCAAGACAAAGTTATTGAAGAAAAAATTATAATACCACAAAGAGAAATATAAATCAATAAACATCCTGCATTGAAAACCTTACTTGTGAGGTTGTTTTGGGTACTCTAGTGTTAACTGTGCAGTATATTGTTCCATATTATACATATTTGTTTGTGGAATAGTATTACTGATGCATGAATGCACAAGTTGCATTTTGTAGATTTTTTAAACTCCTTTATATAGTATTGGTTTGTTTATTCTGCAGCAATGCAGATTATATATGTGTGTAGCTTTGTCCTGTGAGAACCACGTATCTCAACTTTGTGACGATGCTTTTTCAAGCTGATCCAAGAGGCTTTTTAAAGGCACAGCTTAAAGAGAACTGCCTCAACACCTAAATAAATACTGGATCCTAGTTCATCATAAACATTTAAAAATCATCTAAAGATACATGGTTATCACTGGAACATATTACCGCTGCTGTGTGGACGGCCCGTCCACACAGCAGCGTTTAAAAAATCTTCCAACGCTTCTGCCCATTCACTTTGAATGGGGTGACGTCACTTTGCCTCACTTTTCGCCGAACTGCATTGTGGGAAGCAGAGCAGAGATTTCCAGGCATCTCTCTCAGGATTTCCAGGCATCTCTCTCAGGATTTCCAGGCATCTCTCTCAGGATTTCCAGGCGTCTCTCTCAGGTATGGAGGACGAAACATGACTTAAGTATAAATAAATAAATAAATAAATGTGTAAATAAATGTATGAAGAAATACAGGAATAAATAAATAAATAAATAAATACAGGAATAAATAAATACAGGAATAAATAAATGACGAAATAAATACATAAATAAATAAATAAATAAATGTTGAAATAAATACACAAATAAATAAATAAAAGAATAAATAAATAAATGCATAAATAAATATGGAAATAAATAAATAAAAGAATAAATAAATAAATGCATAAATAAATATGGAAATAAATACACCAATGTATAAATAAATAAATAAAAGTCGAAAATAAAACAGAACACACGTTATTATATATCTTTCATATATTTCTACATTTACGCGACATACATTTATTTATGTATTTATGTGTCCGTATGCTAATGAGGTGGGCGGTCCTAACCTCAGTCTGAAGCAGGATTTGCCAATTGTTGGAGCCAGGCAGAAGCAAGAGGTTTGTGGCAAGTCACATCTGTTCATTCTGTGTACAGTGTACACCCACGGCAACTTGCTAATGGCTTCTTTAACAATTGTTCTTTCGCACACCCCGAACACCTGCGCGATGTCCCCAGCGACGTGCCCCCAACGAAGATGTGCTTCAATAACGTTTGGGGGCAACATGTAAGATGGACGCCCAAGGGTCGCCTCTTCTGTTTCCGAGAGGATTTCAAGTTGGCGGGCAACCTCTTGAAGACTCTCAAACACAGCTGGGTTAACATCCACATCCATGTCGAGCTGAGCCAAGTCCTCTATACATCGTTCCACACGAAACTGAATATAGTCTTTTGGTTCTCCGTTCTCTAAATGGCCCGCAAATGATCGTAAATGATCTCCAATGGCTCTTAAACCAATACCCATAAATAATCCTTACAACTGTGGATAAACCATGGATGTATAAAGATAAGGGCTAAACAGTAAAGCTCCTGCATTCGAATCAGCGCGGTTAGCCAGGCGTTAGTTGAGCCAGAAATGATCACTCACTCCTGTAACCAATCCTGCTTCAGACTGAGGTTAGGACCGCCCACCTCATTAGCATACGGACACATAAATACATAAATAAATAAATGTATGTCGCGTAAATGTAGAAATATATATAATAACGTGTGTTCTGTTTTATTTTTCGACTTTTATTTATTTATTTATACATTGGTGTATTTATTTCCATATTTATTTATTTATTTATTCTTTTATTTATTTATTTGTGTATTTATTTCAACATTTATTTATTTATGTATTTATTTCATCATTTATTTATTCCTGTATTTATTTACGTATTTATTTATTTATTCCTGTATTTCTTCATACATTTATTTACACATTTATTTATTTATTTATTTATACTTAAGTCATGTTCCGTCCTCCATACTCAGGATGCAAAAGTTGAGCAATGTTCAACTTTTGAAGCTGAGGTGGAAGCATCAGCCAATCAAATCCCGTTTATGCAAATCTGACAGTACAAGCGCTAGCCAATCAAACCGCGTGTATGCTGGGAGAGACATACCGCAGGTCATTTCCTCATATTCCAAAACATGGAGGAGAAATTAGCGGTAGGGAATCACCCGGTGCTTTATGACCAGTCCCTATTTACCTACCGGGATACAAACCGGAGGAGCCAGGCATGGAGGGAGGTGGCAGAGACAGTGGTAGGTTTTCGCCTGTTTGGGGAGTTTATATCCAGTTTACTTCGGGCTTTTTTGCTTTGTATGTCGGGGGCGGGAGATTCATGTGATTGGTTGTTGGTCGCGTTGCTCGCAAAAAATCCCCAAACTTCAGATTCGCCCACCTCCAAGGTTTTTTTAACGCTGCTGTGTGGACGCTCTAATGTTAGTGACATAAAATAACTGCATTGTCTCTTGGTGTAGATGTATGCTCTATGAGGAACTACAAAGTACTGAAGCATATCAAATTTAACTCCAAACTAAAGCACATGCCAAGATGTTATGGTCACTGCCAGGAAGCCAGAGAAATGTTCACAGAGTTCAAATACAAATGAACAAGTTAACCTAGAGACCGAAATAAATGTACCTTAAATTAGCTAGTGAACAGTAGCTATTCATTTAACAAGCTAGCGAGCTATCTAACACTCTCATGGATATATAAAGGTTGAATAAGTGAACTGGATACTCCGTTCATTCCTGTGAGTTACAGTAGTGTGGCGTGGGGAAACATTTAGGGGAAGCCCATTGTTTTGGGTTGGGGGGGGGGGGGGGGGGGGGTGGTCAATAACGTAACCAGATGAGTGATTACTGCGCCCGGTATCATTTTACACACATTTGTATCACACAGATGCAGGACTTGCACACGCCTGTTATCTAACCGACAGGTCCGCACGCACTCTCCAGCCGAAACTCTCTCGTCTTATTAATTTAAGCATTTTCTTATTAATTTATGCAGACACACCCCCCCCCCCCATGCAATACCAGCCGCTCAATGCGCAGTGCAGATTCGGTAATGAATAAAAAAGAAGCATTCATTCACAAAGTAAATCAGGAGACCTTTAAAGTTTTACGTTCACATCAAAGTATCAGTAGGCGTGTATGAAACACATGAATTCAAAAACAATTATGTACAGAAACATTTGCATGCGATAGTCCACCTTCTCTTCCCTTCCCTTTCTAACACACGGCAAGTGCAGCAACAGTCCTCGTCTCTGTAATTAGCTCAGTCCGTAGTCCAAAAGTAACTAAAAAATATAAACAATCTCATCTATTCAGGTGATCGATTGGATGGCAGTGTCCAATCAAATCGCCAGCCGCCAGCCGCCTCTGAAGGGAAGCCAGAGGCGGCTGGCTTCCCTTGGCATGGCCCTGACCAATCACAGGTTGGCAGGGGCATCACGTGGGCCTCATCTGATTGGTCAATCCCTCAATTTTTTTTCACCAAGGGAAGCCCGATCCGACTGGCCTCCTCTCGCAACAGTGAATGCAATCTACTGTTTCACCATAACATCTAGAGGGGCGCTGTTTGTTTCACTCTTTGTAAAATACTCAATGAGAGTGGGGGAGAGACGGGCCGGCAGCAACACACAGCAAAGGACAATTATCTAAACAAAACAAAGTGTATTTATTTATTTATTTAAATTATAACTACAATCCGAAAAAACAGGGGAAGCCTGGCTTCCCTTGGCCTCCGGGAGGAAACGCCACTGGTGAGTTATTCAGTGGCGCTTGAAGCCCAAAGTGGAGCGGGTGTAGACTCTGAAAGTACCCGGATGTGGGCCCATAGAGCATGCGCAGTTGAGTTTCTCTTAAACCACGCCTCTGATCTCCCGCTCCGTGTCAGTCGGATCAAAGCCTCATAAGTGCAGATTGGTCCATTTCAGAATAATATATATGATATGTTTTATAATGATTGATCATGAAAGTGTTCTCAAAGCTGGTAAAGGTGCAGCTAGTCTGAATGACTTTGTATACTGCAGGGTAGCTTGTGGATTTACTCCAGGTGGAACTAAAGTCTGATTTAACACTTGATTAGATTTCACATCATTCATCCACATCTGTAAAGTAACTAAAGGTATTCAATACATGTAGTGCAGTGAGTTACATTTCCACATATTGGCCACATTTGTTCGATATCTTGAATCCCTACTTTGAATTACTACTTTATAAATTAGTTAATGTGTATAATTGGTTAATTTAATGTTTTAATAGTTTACAGTTTTTTTCCGGAAAACTTAGATAGGTATACTTTTTGTTAGAGTTTGGTAACATTCTCAATGCAGGACTTTGAGTATTTATTTAGCGTTTAGTATTAGTACTTTTACTTAAGTAAAGGACGAGTAAACGTGCTTCATTAAAAAATATAAGGCAAGGTTTTTTCTCCATACAGAATCGTGTTTCAAGCTATGGTTTCAAGTCAGCGTTTTATTGTGAAAGCCGGATGCAGCGTGTTGTTGCTGAGTGTGACAGCAGCTCAGTTCAGATCAGCTGATGGGAACTGACTCACCTCTTCCCGGACAACATGTCGACACATCCAGCGAGAAAGAAGAAGAAAGAGGACTTCATTCTTTAATGAACTCGCGGAGGAACAGAGCGAGCGGCTGGACCCGGATTCAGGTACAGCTCAGATGTATACACATTACATTACACGAGGGGAAACAACACGCGCTGTTTCTTCACTCTGGGTTATCACTTTATATCAGTTTGAGTCGATTAACACTCGTTTGACTAATCGTTACATTTAATGAATTAAAAATCACTAGATCTTTAAATCTGAGTTTTAAAAGCACTACTTGATATCTAGTGTATTCCAGAGATGTGCTCTGACGTGTTTGTATGGAAACAAGTCATATATCATGAACAAAGTAATACAAATGAAAGAATAATTGGAATGTTAGTCGACACCTAGGATTAAGTCTAAGAATTGATTCCATACATTGATCGATATATCTGTAAAACTGATCAAATCATGGGAATCAAAACTTTCCAACTTATTTTCAACAGGAAATAAGCTTGCATGTTTCTTACAATTAAGTTATTCAGCATGAAACATGACTAATGACCAAATTCCTTGATTAAAAAACAGATAAATAATACTGATGTTTTCTGGAGAGAAAAATGCAAAAGCCCCACTTTAAATATTATTTGAACCAAATTTGTCCTCATTCGTTTCTTGAAAATAAGTTGTTCAGCATGATGAAAGCAAATAAAGCCACTAACAATCTTCCTCAATTAACGCCACATTTAGTCGACTCATTGATTCCATAAATCCCCCCCCCCCTTGCCTGAAAGCCTTCATTGGACTCCTTTGTTTACTTCAGGAACATAGTGACATCACTTTTGTAACACTGGCTTGCGCACCAACACATTGTACGCTAAGGGGCGGGACATTAACTGCAATATATACCTGGCTGCTAAATCTTCAGAACTGCTACAGGATGTGTATTTTGTAAATTGTGTAGTTATCTTTAATATTTTGTATGCATGCTGCTTAGTTAACTTTAAGCTGTCTGTGGCTCTTTTCTGCTGTAACAATGTACATGTCCCCTCTGTGGGACGAATAAAGGTATTCTGAATCTGATATATTCTCTTAGACAGAATCTAAACATTCCCACCATGAAACCATAAAACCCTCCAGTCAATATCCATTTGCAAATCCACCTTACAGCACATGTCCCTTCTGTTGGACGAATATACAAGTATTCTGATTCTGATCTGTAAATAGTAGACCAATCCCAACAGAAGGATTTCTGAATTCTGACCTTTTTTCTCAGACTTTTTACATTTTCCCAAAAGTTCGCTTTTTCTCTGAATTGTAACTTTATTCAGAATTTTTACTTTTCCTTCCAAATTTTTTAAGAATGTTTTTTTTTAAAGAACTTTTTGGTCAAATATTTGACTTTTCCCAAAAAGAGTCTTTGTTCCTGAAACTTCACCCAGAATTATGACTTTTGTCCCAGGATGTTTATGGAAGAGGATTTAGGCCATGTGACCAACAATTTGAGATCTGAACGAGAGATGTTTTTGTTTTATTATAATTTTTCCTTTTAATTTTGACTTATTTTCCGAATGTGTCGTTTTCTTAGAATTAACTTTTTTACCTGAATTTTGTATTTTTACTGCAAATTTTGACTTTTCAAAAAACATGATGCAATTAAAAACATTTAAAAAAGTAATTGATATTACAAAAAAATAAACATTAATTAAATTAAATTAGATATTTTTAAGGGCCTGGATGTATGTATATATTGAAACACTTAGCCTATTATAACTTTATAAATTATGCTATACAGTATCTATATATATAGATATATAGATATTATGGCAGAGAAAAAATATAGATATTAGATTGAATACAAGAAGAAAGACAGGAAGAGGGGATCTCATTTTTATCTTTTTTGTCAGACAGACTCCTCTGTGACTCCATGCCCTCCTCCTCCTCCTCCTCCTCCTCCTCGCCGTGGTGAAGAGTAACCAGGTTAAAGATGTCCGCTGTGGTGGGGGGGGTCTCCTCCTCCGCCCTCAGGGCTCCTGGGGGGGCTCTGGTTCTCCTGCTCTCCGTCACGCTGCTGTCTGGATTCAGCCCACTGTGCATCGCTCGGGGAGGGGGCTGCTGCAGCATGGACCCACGTAATCATTAACATAATCATACTTACTAATTATAATACTACAAATAATATTAATATTGGAATTTAAAATAATACAAATAATAATAATAATGATGATAATAATAATACTAATGTTAATAAAATAACAATATATGGACCCAGGTCATAATAATAATAATAATAATACAACTATTACTTTAACTAAGTTTTACTGATAATACTTTTACCTAAATTTGGTTTTGAATATATATACATATACTTGTGTACTTGTAATGGAGTATTTTCAAAGTGAGGTATCAGTACTGAAGCAGCAGGCGTCAGGTTGATCCCTGAGCGTTGTCTTGCAGGTTTCCGGCGCAGGCTGCTCAGCCTGATCAGCTGTTTTGCAGGAGGAGTGTTTTTGGCCACCTGTCTGCTGGAGCAGCTGCCGGACTACCTGCAGAGCATCGAGGAGGCCTTCAGCAGCGCGGGGGTCACCGTAAGATGATATAACACACACACACACACACACACACACACACACACAGGAACGTCACATGACTTCACGTCACCACAGCTGAGATAAAGGTGGCTAACGTTAGGCTATAAATGAACTACAGTACGGTCACATGACTTCACGCAGGGTTGCCAACTCTCACGCATCTGGCGTGTGACACACGCTTTCACTCTCAATCTCACGCTCTCACGCTGCCCAAACTATTCTCACGCCAAAAACAAGAATACGAAGACTAGAAACGGTTTTGAAAACTTTTGTCACGTAGTGATCGTCTTCTCAATAGAACATCTTTTATCATGTCTTCTGGCCAATCAGAATCACGATAACGGCGTGGTGTTGTTGCAGGAAGTCCCGACGGAGAATACTTTTGCGGTAGTACATCTCTATACATCGATACAACATTACGTGTTGATAGAAATCAACACGTAATGAAATAAGACCCCACGGTTTGATGATTGATAGGTGTGTGGGCTGTCTTTCATTTTGACACACAGAACAATGGGGGCTATCCACCCTTATCCACAATGTAAAGTAATTCACACAGCCTCTTCCCTCTTCTCTCTGTGAGGAGCAGCAGGTTCAGCTTTCAGAACAAAGTAACAAAAAACTAAAATGCCATTCATTTTTTTAAATATGTCGTGTAGTAATAGATTTATTTATTTTTCTTCTCAAGAGAGTATCAGAATGTGTATTTTATGTTAGTATTTCAAAAAATCTCCTGGGGGAGAATCCCCCCAGACCCCTCTGCAGGGGTTGGGTCTTCAGCATGTCAACTCTTTCACTTGTGGGGAAATTGCAGGAATGGCTCCAGGTCGCCCTTTTTATTTACTACAAGACAAATGTGCCTTTTTATTTCATACAGTTCAATTTGGATTGAGACAGGGAAATAATCTAAACCTCACGCGTGGCGTTTCACTGTCGGGGGGAGCGTGTATGTAATTACATTGCGAATACTGAGCCCCACCACTGTATGGGTTAGCCCTACCATAGATTACCCAACAAAAATACTCTGGAGCCGCAACTGCCGACCCGTATTGCGCATGCGCAGATCTAAGATCCAGTAGAAATGATAAAAAAGTAAAAGTCTGCTGCTTATTGTTCTACTTGGCCAAAATAGAGTCAAAGAGTATATGAGAGTGAGAGTGTGTTAATTAATATATGTGGCAGTTTGGAGTAAGTCTGTAGATTTGTTTGTGTGTGTTTCATGTATAGGCCTCTCACGATAATTAATTTTGTTGGATACATTTTCCCGGAAATGATTGCGATAAACGATAATATTGTCGGCACCGTTGTATGACCATTTTAGACCACTGACATAATGATAATATATAATAATAATTCAAGTACATCCTTTCAAACTGCTAGTCACATCCTCATGTAAATGGCAATTTATCGAGGTCAGAAAAGTTATCGAGTTCATTTTTATTTATCGTACGATAAGTCAATTAATTGCTTATCGCGACAGGCACACAATAAAACAGTGGAAAGAAACATGTTTGACTTTCATTAGTGAATGAAACTGTGTGCCCTTTATAGTCTGTGTCCATTATTGTGTATTTGTATATATTGTATCTATATATATATGCTAAGGTCCCGCTGCTGACACGATAGCAGTCATTTCGTGCGCATATGTGTAATTAAACCGAATTAAACCCATGATATCAAAATCTCACTCCAGCCAGGTACCCAAAGTTGGCAACCCTGCTTCACGTCACCATCGCTAAGCTAATGTTCTCACATCACCATGCTAAGCTAAAGGCGGCTAATGTTTGTTCTCCTTTCGATACCAAATCTGATAGTCGTCGTTCACCCTCGTCAGCGGCTTCTTCTCTCCCCGCAGCTTCAGTTCCCTCTGCCTGAGTTCATCATGGCGATGGGTTTCTTCCTGGTTCTGGTTCTGGAGCAGGTCATCCTGGCCTTTAAGGACCAGCCTCAGATGAAGGAGTGTCGCGCTCTGCTGCCGAACTCCAGCGTCAACTCCCACCGCCACGGCGCGTCAGAGGAGTCCGGCGGCAGCCTCTTCCACGTGGACCTGAGCGCGCAGTCGGCCCTGCGCTCCTTCGTCCTGGTCTTCTCGCTGTCGCTGCACTCCGTGTTGGAGGGGCTGGCCGTGGGCCTGCAGGAGATCTACGTGGCAAGGCAAGGCAAGTTTATCTATACAGCATCTTTCAACACAAGGCAATTCAAAGTACTGTACACAAATGAAAAACATGCTTTAAGAAATAGTGTCACGGAAACACGTTATGAAATGGTCATTAAAAAGCAAAGAGAATAAAACAAACATAAAACAAGCTAATCGTGTACTTTTACTCCACTACATGTATTTAATACATTTAGTTACTTTTCTACTTTTACTTGAGTAACATTTTGACTGTAGGACTTTTACTTGTAACAGAGTATTCCTACACTCTGATACTTACTTTACCATAGAGTAGGAATACATTGTGACAAGTAAAGGTAAAAGTACTGAAGTACAACATCTGAGTACGCTTCCCCTCTGAACTGAATGCTTCTTCCCCATGTTCAGTTCTGACTCTGGGGCTGATGGTCCACAAGAGCATCATCTCCTTCAGCCTGGCCTGCACGCTGTCACGGGGCCGGCTGCGGCTCCCCCTGGTGGCCGGCTGCCTGCTGCTGTTTGCCGCCATGTTGCCGCTGGGCCTCGGCCTGGGCTCGGCGCTCTCGGAGACGAAGGCGCCCCGGCAGCACCGGCTGGCCCGCTGCACGCTGCAGGGTCTGGCGGCGGGAAGCTTCCTCTACATCACCTTCATGGAGATCCTGCCGCACGAGCTGGGCTCCGGAGGGAACCGCATCCCCAGGGTGGCCTCGCTGCTGGCCGGCTTCGCCTTGGTCACCGCCGTGCTCTTCATCAAACTGTAATCATCCCAGGGAGTTCAGCAGGATAATCTCCACATATTAACACCACTTTATTTCTGAAGTAAGAAGCTAACACGTCACCACCGCTAAGCTAAAGGCGGCTAAAGTTGGGCTATAAAGGAACTACAGCACGGTCACATGACTTCACGTCACCACCGCTAAGCTAAAGGCGGCTAATGTTGGGCGTTGGTGTTCGGATCAGGGTCACAGGTTCAAACCCCACTGCAGTCAGCATGTCGTTGTGTCCCTGAGACACTTCACCCCAAATTGCTCCTGTGGGGATTGTCCACAGTATTGAGTATGTACGTCGCTTTGGATAAAAGCATCTAACAAGTGACATGTAATGTAATGTAATGTAAACAGTCTTTAATTTAGTTTAATTATATTAATAAGAAAAGCTTTTAATAGGATGTTCAGCAGAGCCGGGGTCTCGGTGCTGACCTGGTGTCAGTGGGACTTCATCTGGGCTGCTTTAGGGAAGAAGGAGAATATAAACTGTTATAAACCACAGCTAGATATTACGATTAGAAAACTAATATTGTTCAGAATCTATCTATAAAACATGCTTTGGTTGATTAGGTAAACAAACATATTTCTATAGAATATATAGACTTGGAGGATGAAACCCTGTTTAATGGTGACACATACACGCACGCAGCTTTTAACCCATCCTAGTACTGGGAGCAGTGGGCAGATATTGCACAGCGCAGGAGTGGGCGAGTGGGGGGTGTCCGGTGCCTTGCTCAGGGGCACCACGGCAGGGCCCAGGAGGTGAACTGGGACCAAGTAGCTGTCCACTCTCCATATTTAGGTCTGTTCGGGGACTCGAACCGGCGACCCTACGGCTCCAAGCCCCGACTGACTGACTATTATTAGATCAGAAAGATTACACTTATTTTAGATATGAAATGATATGATTAAATGACATCAGCTATATAGACACTGTAATGGCAACTTTAATGTTCCAATACCCTATATTCTATGAGCATCTGCCGGGCTGGTGGAATCGGTGTGCTCTTCCTCCTGTGTCCTCTTCTTCCGGTCACCTATGACCCCTTTTATAAACCCAGTGCAGCTAAACCCGCCACCAAGTGTCCAAAAATAATATTGCAGTATAAATGGCTCCTGCAGACACCTTATAGGATGCTAGTATATCTGTAATGACTAGGTTAGCAACGTTAGCTAGCTAGCTTACAGCAGATCTGCAGTAACATCAGAAGGAGTCATGTGATCTACAGACAGTTGTTGTTGTTGTTGTCGTCGTCCCCCCCCCCGCAGGAGGATGAAGCTGGAGAAGGAGCTGGTGGCTCAGCTCTGGAGGATCTCCTGGAACGACATTCAGATGGGGAACCTGGAGAAAGTGCTGCGGAGCGGCAGCAGGATCACACTGTCACTGGTCAGCTCACACATGCGCGCACGCGCACACACACACACACACACACACACACACACCGTGTCTCTTATTAAGTGTTTCTGCACGTCTCTGAATTCCTGAATTACAAAAACAAACAAAAAATGCCTGTAAAAGATATACAAAAATATCCTAAAAATAAGTGGAAAATGTTTTAAAAATAACCAAATAAATGTGAATAAAGTCTGCAAAATACCCTAAAAATGCATAAAGAGTACTATACAAAAATATATCCTAAGAAAAAGTGGAGTATATCTGAACGAATCCCCTAAAAATATGTGAAACACGTCTAAAACATTTCTGAAAACATATTGAAAAAGAATATCTGAATAATGTGTAAGAAAAAACAGTAAAAACAACGAGATGAAAACACAAGAGGATATATATAGAATATGAAGCATTGCTGCAGATTAAACTAGCCAACATTATATAAAACATACACATCAACGCTGCAGTAATCCACACTCATCATATAAGATATAAAACATTTTACTTTAGGTACTTTAACTACATTTAGCTTCAGTAAGGTTTTGAATTCAGTACTTTGAATGGCTGACGGTTATTTTCACCCTCTCTTTCTGCAGAGAGGCTCTAACTACGGCTCCCTGATGACTGGGGATGGAAACATGCAGGTTTTTGCAAAAACTGGATATTTTAAGGTGAGTTTACATTAGAAGAAACACGTTATATTATGCACCACATGTATCCCCTATTTTCCAATTCCTTTCTATATTGTTATGGCTGCTGAGTGGTGCACAGAGATATCCTATAATCATTTAGTTTAGGAGAAGGCCACATGCTAAAGATCCTTAAAGCTGCACTTTCTCTACTGTCCTGCAGGGGGCGACTCCACTGGTTGATTGTATGGAAGTCTATGAGAAAATGAGCCTACTTCTCTCTTGATTTATCACCTCAGTAAATGTTTCCTGATGAGTTGATGCTCTCAATGTGTAGTCTTCTTCAACACAGCATGTTGTTCCTTTAGTGAAATGGTCCCGTTTGGAGTGAACATGTTGTGTTTCTCCAGGGAAACATCGTGGCCATTAAATACACCGACAGGAAGCGCTTCGAGCTGAACAGGGAGGTCCTGTTCGAGCTCAAACACGTGAGTGACCTTCAGATTTAAACACATTTTGTTTATAAGGAAACAAAGGAGGGCCATACCATGTTTGTTCTCTTTTAAAATAATGCTTCACGATCATCACATTTTAAACGGGATAGGCACATGGAGAAGGCTGATGATGCATTCAGGTGCTACTCGGAGACGGGGTGTTTTTCCTCTAAGTTGCGCGTGTTAATGAACTTAAATGTGGGAACAAGATGCTCTAAAGAAGTGTCCTTTAAACACGTTGATATCTGTCTCGGAGTTGTTGTTGCAGTCGGGAACTCATTTGACTGCAACATCACATGAAAGCAGTGCAATCTCACAATGTTAGCGAAATGAAAACACAATCTGTGTATGTCCCGCCCCTTAGCCTATCACGCACAATGTGTTGGAGCGCAAGCCAATAGCAGCATGAATGTTCCATAGTGATGTCACTATGTTCCTGAAGTAAACAAAGGAGTCCAATAGAGGTGTTTCAAGCGGGGGGGGGGGGGGGGATGTGTGAGAGAGAAACTCCCTCTGAAGGGAAAACAGGGATATTAGCGTCTGCAGACCATTTACATGCCCTAAAGCCTAACACACTACAGGAGAGGGGAACCCAAAATAGCAGAATAGACTTTAACAGGTTTTTTTTTGGCTGATCCTTCAAGAAATCAGGCCAGTAGTTTTCAGTCATCAGTGACATAATAACATCATAAAATGTGTGTATTCTCTGTGATGTGTTTTGTATCCTGTGTGTGTAGATGCGGGACGTTCAGAACGAACATCTGACGAGGTTCATCGGAGCGTGCATCGACCCCCCCAACACCTGCATCCTCTCAGAGTACTGCCCCAGAGGGAGTCTGCAGGTACACCTGTCTGTCTGTCTGTCTGTCTGTCTGTCTGTCTGTCTGTCTGTCTGTCTGTCTGTCAGACTGTCTGTCTGTCTGTCTCACTGTCTGTCTGTTTTCCTCTCTGTCTGTCTGTCTGCCTCTGTCTGTCTGTCTGTCTGTCTGCCTCTGTCTGTCTGTCTGTCTGTCTGTCTGCCTCTGTCTGTCTGTCCCTCTCTCTCTCTGTCTGTCTGTCTGTCCCTCTCTCTCTCTGTCTGTCTGTCTGTCTGTCTGTTTGTCTGTCTGTTACAGTCTGTATTTTGCATCTTCAGGACATTTTGGAGAACGACAGCATCACTCTGGACTGGATGTTTAAATATTCTCTCATCAATGATATCGTTAAGGTAAATCCTTATTATTATAACTAATAATTGACCAATCAGAATTGAGTATTCCACAGAGCTATGTAATACACATATATATATACTCTCTCTGCAGGGCATGGTGTTCCTCCACAACAGCGTGATCCTGTCTCACGGGAAACTCAAGTCCTCTAACTGTGTGGTGGATAACCGCTTCGTGCTGAAGATCACAGATTACGGTCTGTCCAGCTTCAGGTCTGAGAGCTCGGGGAAAGACGCTCACGCATATTACGCCCGTGAGTCATCCTGTTTACTGACACTCTGACTCTGTTTGTCCTTTAGCTTTTACATGATCTGTCTGTCTGTCTGTGTGTCTTTCTGTCTGTCTGTGTGTTTGTCTTACTGTGTGTGTGTCTTTCTGTGTTTGTGTGTGTGGTTGTGTGTGGTTGTGTCTTTCTTTCTATATATCTGTAAATCAAGCTAGCTAACGTTCCCTATCTACCTTGTTAGCTAGCTTACCTTAGCTCCTTAGATACCCATGTTGGCTAGCGAATGTTAGCTATCTAGCTAAGTTAAAGTGGACCTATCATGCTATATTTTAGTTATAAGTAGTTATAATGATCCACTTTCAATCACATTAGTATGCATAGAAAGTGACAGGTGCTGTGACAGGTCACACCTACTACTACTTATGCTAATGAGCCCCTTTGATATGTTAATGAGCCCCTTTGTTCGAGGTGTTATCGCGTGTAGGTGTGATATCACAGATAGGTGTGATATCCTTTGATGTGAGGGGTGAGGTGTTGTAACATGTAGGTGTGATATTCCCCATTGTAGTAGATCCTTTGTTGTCTAATCTAATTAGCCTTTGATGTCTGCCCTTTGTTGTCTAATCTAATTACCCTTTGATGTCTATCCTTTGATGTGAGGGGTGAGGTGTTGTAACATGTAGGTGTGATATTCCCCCTTGTAGTAGATCCTTTGTTGTCTAATCTAATTAGCCTTTGATGTCTGCCCTTTGTTGTCTAATCTAATTACCCTTTGATGTCTGTCCTTTGATGTGAGGGTGGTGAGGTGTTGTAACATGTAGGTGTGATATCACACCGACGTGTTATAAGCCTTTGATGTCAATCTAATTAGCCCTTTGATGTCAGTCCTTTGATGTAAGGTGGGTGAGGTGTTATAACATGCCGGTGTGATATCGCACCGGCGTGTTATAAGCCTTTGATGTCAATCTAATTAGCCCTTGAAGTCAATCTAATTAGCCCTTTGATGTATGTCCTTTGATCAGTGTTTGTAACTAGTATTAAGACAATCTCTTTGAAGTTGTGTGAGACTGTCTCGCACCCCGTCCTCCTCCCACCCGTCCCCCTCCCACCCCTTCCCCATTCCTTTTGCTGTGATGTCAGAAGATAGAGGTGGGGGTGGAGTTAGATAAAAAAGATAAAAAGCCACTCACCAAGTCACCTAAACTTTCAAAAACGAAAATGGCAAAGAGACGCATCGATATGGGTTTAATCAGCGAGACGCCTGTGACAACTTACCGCCATCCGTCGGGAGCGCCAGTCAAGAAACGGATGCAGTATCTGTGCCGTGTTCAAACCCCTCCGTCTGAGGCTCTTCATGAAAAATGGAGTCTGGGTGTGTGAGACTGTCTCCCCTCCCTCCCCTCCCACCCCTCCCTTCCCCCCTGCCTGTCACCTCCTGATTTGGCTATCAGCCATTAATTTTCACTCACCAAGTCACCTAAAACTTTTATTGTCCTCTCTAAATTAGATTAGTTTTAATATGATTTGTGTTAACTATGGATGTTCTCTTAAGTTGTAGGGCTTGTGAACTAATGTTTAATTATTTTACTAACTACAACAAAGTCTCTTTGAGAGGAAAATAATAATTTAAAAGATCTTAATCCCCCTTGATCTTGTATTTGTAATATTTTAATTACTTTATTAACTATAAGGAAGATTTACTGGTATGCTTCCCTAGATGATGTAAATAGTCTAAGTGTCATGTTAGGGGGACATTACGGAACTCAGGAGTCCGCCCTTGGAGGCTTGGAGAGCGGATAAAGAGAGGTGTATTTACTGGTGTTGAGCCCTGGATGATGTAAATAGTCCAAGTGCCGTGGTAGGGGGACATTACGGAACTCAGGAGTCCGCCCTTTGAGGCGTTGTTAACATTAATGCTTTTTGCTTTTGTTTTTGTTACTAAGATACTTTTTAGATACACTTTTGAAGTGAGCAACACTTTACAACTGGTAGAAAGTTAAGTACTTTGTATGGAATTGGGTTTTCTTTTAGAGCTGTTTTCAGTGAGACAATGCAGTTTCTGATCATTTTAAGTTTTCAAGTTTCAAGGCTTTATGGCATATGCCCATTAGCTACAGTGTAGATATGTCAATGAGAAACATAGGTCACAGGCTCCTCCAACAGTGCAACAAATATATATATACATATAGAGCACATAAAACAGATAAAATACTGCAATAGAATGTTTTGATATGACAGATTTGTGCGTAATTCTCTCACAAAGGAACTGTAAGATACACGTTTATGTATGGAAAACTTTATAACTTGGTAAAATATTCATTCATTTCTAATGAATTGAGATTCTTAAAGAATCAAACTCTAAATGGAGAGTTTGTGATTTTAACACTGTTTCGATGAAACAATGCAGTTTTGATAACTTCACTTGACTAACATTACTTTTTTAAATATATGTTTTGTTAGATGACTTTACTGATTTTTGCTTTTTTCTTCCTTGCTTTTGTTTGTGTTACTAAGATACTTTTAGATACACTTTGAAGTGTGCAACACTTTACAACTGATAGAATAGTACTTTGTAAGGAATTTGTTTTCTTGGTAGAATATAAAGTACTTTGCAAGGAATTGGGTTTCTTAACAATCCTGCTCCACCATTAAATCACTTAATCTGCTACTTCCAGGCAAAGCTTTAAAACTTGTATCGTGTATTAAGTCATGTCTTGGTAAAAATGAGAGTCCTGGGTGCTTTAAAACATTTCTTAGAACATTTTGATATATTCAAACACATAATGAACTGCAATGACTCTGGCTCACTGCTGCATCAAATTTATTTTACACTGTTGTGGGGACAAGACTGTGAGACTCTCAGACCCTTTGTTGTCAATCTAATTAGCCTTGATCTATAAAAAAGTCACCTTCTACTTTTATTTGTCCTCTCTAAATTAGATTTAGGGTTTTTAAAATTCTGAAAAGGCGTGTTGTGAGGGGGAAAAAACAGATGTATGTATGCGGTTTTGAATGGTGGCTGGTTGATGAAAACTGATGCAAAATAAGGGGTCAGGAATAATATGGCTTGAAATATGAGCAATCATGTTAATAGCTACAGATACGGTAAAGTACTACAACAACAACATAGGAGTGCTTATACTGTATGTTGTAAAAGCAGGACAAACAAATAAATAAAATGCTGCATTGTTTTTGAAACAAGAACCATATGCCCAAGGCATTTCTACATTTAGATGACATGTTCAGAACTCAGTACATTTGAACCAATAACTAATTTAACCATCAACATCAATTTAAGTGCACACAGCAGTGCAAACAAAACAAAAAACAGGCTTGTGTGCATCAGACAACTCAAATTACTCCACTTTAACCATATTTAGAATGTCCTCATTTTAACTAAAGTAATTTAACCTAAGTGGAGCCAACCTAAGGAGTGGGCACTACAGTCAGGGACTAGCTTACTTTTTAACATTCTACTCAAAGGGCCCGTAAATATTATCTCCGCCAATATGCTATATTAAATTATCATTATTTATTTTTTTTAAAACTCATAGTATTTCATGTTGAAATGATCAAGGAAAAGCCAGTCAATGTTATGTTAACACAAACAAAAGTTCTGTTTTATATGTTGAAATATAATTTAAAAAACAATGATATAGTATTTTCAAGTCTTACTTTAGTATGGCAAATTTAAGAATAAGTCACATTAAAGTTTTGTCATGATTTTCCGTAAAAAAGTCAAGTATAGTTTGTCAAAAGAATATGAAAAAAAAATCATTTTGTAGTTACAAACGGATGCTGGAAAAGAGTTATTTGTTTCTTGTTAAATAATTCTTTTCCAGCATCCGTTTGTAACTTTTTAGGAATCTGACTATCTTTTAGAATTGCATCAAATGCTATAGCCACTTCTAAGATACGTTTTTTTAAATGTTTTTCTCTCATCCTGCTATATTCCTTCCAGGGGAGGATCCCTGGGGATTGATCAGAGCAAAGAAAGGCTGTAAACACTGACACACAAAACACTGAAACACTGACACACAAAACACTGAAACACTGAAACACTGAAACACAAAACACTGAAATACTGAAACACTGAAAACACTGACACACAAAAACACAGAAGCACAACACACTGAAACACTGAAACACTGAAATACTGAAACACTGAAAACACTGACACACAAAAACACAGAAGCACAAAACACTGAAACACTGAAACACTGAAACACTGAAACACTGAAATACTGAAACACTGAAAACACTGACACACAAAAACACAGAAGCACAAAACACTGAAACACCGACACACAGAAACACCGAAAACTATTAAACAGCCCTGCTATATACTATGACCATTCTTTACTTATTTATAATATGGTTCAAATGGAGTAATTTGAGTTGTCTGATGCACTTGATACAATTTTACTTTTTGTATTTATTCAAAACCATTTCAACACACCGTAAGTCATGACTTTTTCAAGATCTTTTTGTCAAACTATACTATGACTTTCTCTCATTTTTTTATTTTTTTTTAGAGATCCTATACTGACATTGCAGACAAACTATATAATATAATTCTTAACTACATACTATACTTGGACTTTTTTCAAGATACTTTTAACATACTATACTAGTACTTTTAAAATAAATGTTCGGACATTCTACACTGTGACTCTTTTTTAAAATGATATGTAGGAAATACTATACTATGATTTGAAGACAACAGTTTTTTAAAATGTAAAAAACACTTTTTTTATTTGCAGAATTTCATATTTACAATTTATTGTTTTCACCCCATAGGAATCAATAATACATTTATACTGATTGCAACATCCCCAGGATCTTCTCCAGCACAGAATCCCCCAGATGAAGGGAAATATTATAATGGAGTTTTTGCACTTCGGCCAAAATATTCATGTGTATGCTGTTTTTGACACAAAGATGCATTACATCTACAAACAGAGCATACAATGCGAGCACATGATACACTTTTGGTGTTTGTTTCATTTCTTCGGTAATGTTACAGA